TGAAAAAATTGGTTCAACGGCGTTATATTACTAATAGAAAAGTAAATGACGCATAATAAATTATATAATCAAATATTCTTAGAAATATAGGCTTATAGACCGTCTTTGCTCAGAATCGTTTTTCCTAGTGCCTATAATATTATATACAATGATTTATCATTAAATTCCAATTTAACGCATTAATTACAGTGACCTATACTAATTTATAACTCAATGACATGGTATACTCGAGACCTACCTGCAAAGCAGAAAACTTCACCGATTTTTGTTGAAATATTTCAAATATTAATTGTAATATTAAACCATCGATGTTGTCACATTCAATTATAATAATTTAACCGTAAAAAAATATATAAAAATTATAACTATTAAATATGCTTGAACTTCCGCTTGAATAAAATTACATATATTATGTATATTGTTTACGCTTAGTACACATGTATATATTACTACTATGCGCTACGGTAAATGCAATTGTATGTACCTATAACTAATATGGCTCAGTTTCTCAACTAGAAAATTAAACGAAAATTAACAGACTGTATTAATTGTATACATTTTCGTTTCAGGGTCAAGCTTACAACCAGATGGTCTAGATTTTAACGGATAGGTACCTAAATTGCAATAAATATACCTACCTATACCAATATCGGTAATATAATCTGTCTAGACATTTATTCATATACTCATATAGCCGAATATATAATGGTTCGATGAACTGTTTATTAAGTTATTCAATATTAACGATCGTTACTTCGTTGTATGATTTATACGAACGAATGTTTGATTTATATTTTATATAAAGATGAAACAGACCAGTTTCCATTCGATACAGACTTCCTTAAAAAGAATAGTAACGATTTTAAACCCACTGAAGTAGTTAATAATTTTTAACACTGTTTTCCGTGCCTTTAATATAAAATATCACACTATCACAGAATAAATAAATAATTTCGATCAGTATAAATCCATCATGTATACGTAGATATAGATATTGTATACAATATGCTCGTGAGGCCGTGGTATAGCTATAGGTGCCTATGTCGATAAATATACCGTATACTTGTGACATAATATATTATAGCTACCAGTTACCACAGCTATCTAACATCGTATACACAGCAAACCACTTAAAATTATTAAGTTTAGGTTGTTATCGGGTATAAAAAAATTATCTTTATCTCGTAAGTACGTGATATATATACTCAAATACACAATGGACTCGTATATATTAATAACACATAGGTAATATATATACTATAATGCGCAGTGTTTATAATATTTTATCCAAAAAGTCTGTAAAGACCAAGTATTTTATGAATTTGTTGTAAAAATAACAATATCATTATTTAGTTTAAAAAAAAAAACACCGTTAGCAAAACATATAAGATAGTACAGGTACCTACCGATTACTGATTAATCATAAAAATAATTATATTGCTCATTTAATGAGTACCTAATAAGTAACTAATAACTGTATAATGTGCATAAAGTATGTACTATAAAGGTCTGATATGTGGCGCATGGTGTGGAGGGTAGTAGGCTTTATTCACAAAAATGTGTTCTGAAGTCAAGCATCAGCCGGTGGTCGGTACCACTAATTTACGAAAGGATGATCACCCGGGTTCTAGTCACTAAGCCTCGCCACATATACACACTTGTTCTACCCTCTCCCACAGTCAAAACACTCAAAACCTACTAAAAATAACGATAACCACCCTGCAATAGCCTATATGTTGTAGCTGGTTAAAAAAAAAACTATCACATTTCAATATATCACTATAATCATCTTCGTAGCTAATCAATATCTGTACCTACGGCTGTACGTCATCTAAATACATTTTATTCAAGAAAATCCATGAGGAATTTATGACATTAAATTCAAATTGTTCTAGATTTTGATCGAAAACCCCACATTTAAATATAGTAGATGTGTCACAGTCTTTTCAAAATTGTAAATATGGTTGTCAGGTATATTTTAAAATGTTAAAAATCAGATTTTGAATAACAGTATTATTGAGAAAAAGAAGGGCGAACATGCATATTGAATCTCCTTTCTGTTTATATTTTTGAAGATGTATAAATTTAAGGGCTTAAGGCGCATAATATATTTAGTATACATTAATACATAATACATATATATATATACAATATACATGAAATTTTATATCCTTATAAACAATTTTTATGAAAATGTGCTCAAATAACTAATGGTGAATAATATATTATTTATATTTTTTTTGGTTTAGCTAAAAATTGAATCGGACTTAAAGGAACACGTTCAATTTTGGTCGAAATATGCCCGTTGGCTCTCGTCTACGGATTATGGGCCATTTATAAGACGAAAATGTAAACAAATCGTATAACGTCGACACGTCGTGTGTAAAACATTTACATAACTTAATACATTATGCATGTAAATATCATAATAATATATTTTATATTATACCAATCTCATTTTTACAGGCACACCGCACACGTGCAGACACGCTGCTTGTTTGTTTTGTACATTAGACCATATTTTTTTTTATTGATAAAAGTAGGTATGTACTTTTTAATTAACGGCTTTCGGCTGAACCTATCTATGTGTACTATGTGTCTGTAGGTAATAGGTGTTTATACAATAAAATATAATATTTATAAACAAATTAACAATAGATATTTTATATTATTTGTTTACGTTCTGTTAGTTTATACATTTATTAGCCATTAGACTTTAGATCGACCTCTTTAAATAACCTAATCTATCCAATCCAAAAATTGACTAAATAATGTTATTATGTTGAATAAAACTGTTAAAAATCTTTCAATGTCAAAAACAAAAAAATAGAATTATGCGCAGTAAATTGCGAATCACTCAACCACCTATACGGCTATACTCACTACCATTATTTCCTTGAATAGGTAATAAATTTAAACAAGTTAAGAATTTTGGAATTTTTAAGCATAGGTATGTAGAACGATAGTCGTGTCATATTGTATGCTTAGTATATTCAAAGGAGAACATTGAGAAAAACATTCAACTGTTAAGTATAGACTTTTTTTTTTAAATTGTTATGTTTGCGGTATTTGGTTATTTAAACCAGCATTTTAATTTTAAACAATTACCTATACCTAGTTTCTGAATTAATAAAATTTATAAATACTAAGAAATAAGGAGTAATGATAAGTGATAACAGTAGTCATTAAAAATAGTATAACAAAAATATAAGATAGATGTAAAATTGGATGCAATATTTATTATACTCTAAGGAAAATATTTACAAATTATAAAATGTTGAAAGATATTAATTATATTAATTACTACAATAATAATATTTTTAAATCATTTTATTATACTCCACATCATCCAAGCCTATAATATTATCATGGGCATTGGGGCACAAAGTTATAAATGACTCAAAACCTTCTCTTTTGAAATCCGATGAAAATGTTCAGTTATCTTATAAATATTTTAATGGAAAAATACGATACTCATCTGGATAAGAAAGTTGGCATAAGTAACTTAGTATTTAAAAATATTGTCCTCGAGTGTTCTTAAGAATTCCAAGAATCAGAATTTGAATAATTGCATTATTATTAAAGAAAATGTAGGTGAATATTGTAGCAAATCTTGAGTCATTTGTACCAATTTTACCTATATAAAGATAATAATTATCAAGAAGGTGAGTAGCCTTTAAAAAAAATAACGATTTAATGACTAATTAACTGTGGAATACTAGAATGCTAGTATGCAATGGGTTAAATACCTAGGCGTAATATTTATAGTTCATAATTTTTATTTATCTATTTGGCGTTATCTTAAAATAGTTATAATAGATAGGTTGTTTATTCTGCCTTGTCCGCGGGGAATTTTTCCTAAGCAATTTATACGTAGTATAGAGTGTAAGGTATAGCGAATTATGTGTTACATCTTACACATGCTTCTATGGTAGTCCGGTTATGGTGACAATCTCTCACCGAAGAAAAAGAACATTTCACAGCTCCGAAGACTGACTCGGCTCATTTATCAAACCTTACCATCCACACGAGTACACGACCACCACGCCACCATCACCAGACAGTAGACACAAGACACAAAAAAAAAACAATCGAAACTTCCGAATGAGTGAATGACTGAAAGATAGTGTAAGTACGTAGGAACTAGGAGCTACTCACTAGCCACTACCTATAGTACTACTAGACACTAGTGTCTAGTACAATGGAAGCATGACGGAGAATTTTCGGAACAAATGTCACAGACAAAAAGTTGGTGGGTGGGCAACAGGGTAATGCATTAGTGGGCAATAAGTAGTTGGTGTACTGAATGACTTTATGGTGTAACTGCATTCCAGTATCAGTATTTCAGGGGTAGGTGAGTTGAAAAATGTTTACTATTATCCTAGGGAGGAAAATTATTCGAATCACCAGTGCACTAACAGTACAAGTATTGAAGTATAGATACTATATTAAAGTGCGAGACAAACAGTTATTCGTTATTATTACAACGCATATTGCGTGTCGAGGGAGCGTTTACACGACGTTTGAGGAGAAGGGGGAAGGAGGGCGTCCCGCAACATTGCGAATTGCGAAAGTACAATATTATTATGACTTTACTAAAAAGTAATAATATACCGTCCTTGGGGTGCCACGGCGTTTCGTGCACCGCATAGAGTAATATTATTACTCTATGGTGCACCGCGACGACGAGTGACAACGAGCACGCGCACGCGGCACGCCGTCGGCGATAATCAAATAATCAATACCCGCAATGGTCCCGCATTCGGTCTCGCGGCGGCATGATTATGTGTACACGTCATCCGGACGAGGGCCGCCCGCCGCCGTCACCGCCCAAGGGAAGCGCACCGCCCGCCCGCTCGTCCGCATCGCCAACAGCCGGCCGTAGATCAAGTCCGTGCGCGTGCGCGTGTACGTCGTCCTTGAAGCGCGCAGCCCGATCGAACAGCTGACGCGACTCGGCCGCCCGCCCGCCCGCCCGTCCGTCCGCTGGACAAGTTGTATTTATTATTACGGCGCAGTTGTTGGTTTTTTTTTTATATCGTTTTCCTTTTTCCCGTACCACTTTGGCTCGTCGCGCACCAGTCGAACGTAACACTATTACATCCAATTTTTTTTTTTCATTCCTTTGCTATTTGTTTTTCTTTTTTTCCGTGTTTGCCTTTGCTGCCGTGTACGAGTGTCGCGTTCGCACAATACTGCGGCGGTCGTAAAGTTTCCATACCGAGTAGACGACATTTTTCTGACACACAACCGTTGGGTCTGTTCAAACGCAATTCGTCGCGTCCACGTCGTAATCCGGAAAACAGTCAGGGAAAGCGGACTATGTCCGACGGTGAAAGTTCGGCGCAGACGGCCGCAGTGGAGACGGGCGGCCAGTCGGACAACATGAACGTGGATGGCCAGCATCAGCAGCAGCAGCAGAACGTGTCCATCACCAAAGACGACGGCGAACCGAACCCAAAAAAGGCCAAGCTTTCTGGCGGTTCCGAAGTGTTCGGCCGGGGTGGCGGTGGCGGCGAAAAGCTACACGCCGCTTCGGACAAGCTGGAGCACAGGCTGGGAGGCATACTGTGCTGCGCCGTGTGCTTGGACTTGCCCAGATCGTCCATCTATCAGGTGAGAATTGGCGATTCCGTACGCTATTTCGACTCCCGACGGCCGCATGTTCTTTTTTTTAAAAGACAGTGTCGTCGTCCACGACTCGTCTCGTCGTTGTTGTTGTTATTATTATTATAACTATTATTATTATTATTATTATTATTATTATTATTGTTGTTGTTGTCGTCGTCGTACCAGCTGACCGACGTGCCGCCGCCGCCGCGGCTGTAGTCCCTGGGTCAACGACACTAAATTATGCGCGCGCGAATCTCGTTTGTTGCCTTTCTCCGCCCGTTGTTGCAATAAAATATTATTAAAATATTGTTTCGACATTTTGTCTGTTCGTTTCCGTATTATTGCGCGTCGCGATGACGACACTACTGTTATATTATCGTACCAGAGGTACGGCCTTTTTTGGCATTTCCCAATCCAAACGAGACGCCCTTTCCGCTGCAGCGGCGTGTTCGTCAATGATTTCACACGAATTCCCGAGATTAATCGCGGTCCAACGTCCGCGGTTCAAAGTCCGGCGGCATGCGATTGATACAAATCGTGTGCAATTTATTATTATGTTATAAAAATACATTTTTGGGCCGACGTTGAACGTCGTTAGCCGGCTGTTTCTTTCCGTTATCTGTTTCATGTCGAGCGTGGACATTGGACCCGATTGCGCGATTGTTCGAAATTATTGACAATTAATTAAATATAATTATACTAACCATCCGAACTAAATACTGTCATTATATTATTATATTTGTATGGAATATGGATTAAGTGGTACAGCCGCACAACAGACGAAAAACGCCAAAAACGATTTGGTGACATGTTGTTTCCCCTCGTTAGTGACGAGACCGTGAAAAAGCGACTAAAAAACGAACTTAATTACTCATTTTTTTTATTGTAACGCTGACTGCTAAAAAAAATTCGCAACTTAACACCAATTAGCGTATAAGGTTCAGAATAAACGAAGAGCTATTATTAGATTTGTTCATTATCATTTATCATTAATTATCATCATAATATTTATGTCAAAATATTAGTGAGATTACTATTATTTATTTTATTTTTTTACCGTATCATTGTATAAATATTAGTTATTACAATAGTCAATAGGTACACTAAATTAATTAATAATATTAACTTGTTTAGTGACTTTTTCCGGCATTCCAATGTGACAGACGTCGCTCTCTAATCCGTTTTTAATTTTTATTGGCACCATTCAACCATTTTCACAATGTCACCTATTATATTATACCATTTACCAATTATTTATTTATCGAATCAGAATATAGGTACATCAGTTTACCATGACATTATTTTTAATGGATATTTTCCGAAAACACTTTCGCTATAATAATAATTATTGTGCCCGTGGACTAGGATTTCTAATAACGCTTCCAACGGCTTGCTCTGCGTTACTATCATGCTTATAGCGATATAGTGTTATGAATAATAATAGTGTTCCTCAGTCACGCATCCGAGGGGGGGAGGTCTAGGCTGTTATTACACTCCCTCGTCAGAATAATCCAAAAATATAATACTAGATGTGTCACCCCCACAAGTTGTATTTAAATAATAAGTTAAAACACTCCCCTTAAAAAATCCTGACTGCACGCCTGATGTTAAATCTACTAAATTATATTGGTAGAATTAATGAGGCGTCGTGAATGTAAAACTTATATAATAATATAATTATTCAATGAATACTAGCATAGGCGCAACTAGGGGTTTTTTTTGTCGGAGGGGGTGCTAAAATGTTTTATAGTCTATACCTATAGTATATTATATGTCTCTAATATATTAGGTACTTCGTCATTGGGATAATTTTATCCTACCGGCGATCTGTTCTTTTGCCTTTCGTAACACTTATTTGGGGCAATAAAATGGGAGAGCTAAAATTATAAAACGCTCATATGGGCAACTAGCCGCCACTCGCAAGCCCCCCCCCCCTCAAGGGTTATCAAAAATTGATTAGAAATTTGAAACTATACTCGATCTCAGGGGTTATGAGTTGTGAGCTTCCCCCTTGATTTGCTACTCAATATTGGGGTAATGGGGTACCTACCTTTAAAAATTGACGTTGGAAAATCATGCTTGCATAGTGTTTTGTACTTTCGTAGTAGCCAGTAGGTATAAGCAACAGACGTTAGTAATTACTAATTACTAATTAGTAAACATTTTAACCCTCTCATCGCTTCACATTACTCGCACTTGTAAAAGACATTTTATAGATACTCAAAATATAATCTTCCAGTACTATAAAATGTGGTTTATGCGCAGTTGTCTATCATTCGAGTAGACTAAAAATTAAAATTCTTGTTTGTGGTTTTAAACTTTTTTTAAGGGTATATAATAATGTGCGACGTGTGTTTATCTTTGTTTACAGTGTACAAATGGACATTTAATGTGCGCTGGATGCTTTGCTCATTTGTTGGCTGATGCACGATTACGAGATGAAATGGCCACATGTCCCAATTGTCGCGTGGACATTGCGAAAAACACGGCCACACGTAATTTGGCTGTTGAGAAAGCAGTCAGTGAACTGCCATCAGAGTGTCAGTTTTGCGCCAAAGAATTCCCACGTAACACATTACAACATCACGAACAACAACTTTGTGCAGAACGGTAAACAGTTATTTTTATATTTTATTGTCATATATCATATGTTTTCATGAAAAATAAATTATGCTTATGCTAAACGTTTATATTTTGTAGACCAGTAAAATGTGGATACAGTAAAATAGGCTGCCCATGGCGTGGACCCAGTCATGAAGCATCTGAACACGAAAAAGTTTGCCCTCACCCATCAACTACGGGAAAAGATGTTATGTCTGCACTTGATGCTATGGACCAAAAGTTTCAGGAAGAGAAACTTTTATATGACACCATATTTGACTTGATGAGTTTTGAAAAGATAACATTTAATGGTAAATCATAAAATATACAGTATAGTATACTTATGCTGTAGTAATTAACTAAACTAGGCTAAGAAACCCAACTGAGGATTAAATTAAATCAATACCTAATGGCTAATTTGATTAAACACATTGTTTAGATTTGCAGTTAAAACCATACCGAACAGAAGAGTTTGTACACAAGTTGTACTATGAGACTGCCCGATTTTCAGCGTTCAATTTCCAGTGGGTTGTCAAAACCCGCATCAATAACATGCAAAGAGACCCAGCGTTGAGTGTTGATCGTCACATGTCATACCAGGTAATTTAGTGCAACATTTGTAGGAAAAAAATGTATTAATTTTTAAATTTTTTGTATTGTACTCACTATACTATTTTTAAAATAATATAATTTGAAAAACATTGTTTCATAGAAAAAACAGGTAAGTTCTATTTAATATAAGAAAAAAACAATAATTAACCCATAATATACACAAATGCGTAAAACACAACCACAAGTATCCATGTACGTGTTGTCAGTCCTTTCAGTGTTAGGTTACACCAATAATTGGATGTCATTAGTCATCACTGTAATGTTAAAGGACGACGTGTTTTCAACTATAATCAATGTGACATGGATAATCCATTTATAATTGTGAAACAGGAGACAAGATATGTTTTGTTATATTAATAAACGTTCACAGTTTTCAAGATCACACTACTACTACTTCTAGTACTAGTACTAGTACTACTACAACTGCATCATCTTCATGGTATGGACTCTCAAATCAATCTATCGCTGAATCGGCACATGCACGACAAAATTCATATTGCCATCTATAAAATGTGTTTCTTTTTTTGTTTTTGCCCGTTTCTCTACGTCCGCCACGTCTTGACACATTTTACCTAAACACCATCGAAGAGATAACAACGGCTGAAACATCAATTAAAGACGCCCAATATGGATCAGATCGCAGGATTTTTTTGTATAAACAGTTTTTGTTTTTTACGACATTCTCAAAGTAAAACTTTACGGATTCTTGTTAATTATTCTTGATAGGTTAATATAAACATATTTATTAAAAACTTGTAATTGTATTTTTTTCTTAAATTCATTTTTTAACTGTATAAAGGGTAAGCTTTGGTAAGTCATTAGTCAGAAATATACTAAATTGCTTTTATTTTTTTTTCTTGTCCTGGTAAGTTATGCTAACATTTGGAAGCACTGTGTATAATAATTTGGGTTGAGTTTTGTTTTTCAGGTGCATTCGGACTAATATACTTTTAAAAGAATTTACTTAATAATCATGTTTTACTACTAATATTTCAGGATTATTTTTGCAGGTTATTCGTTGTACTATCTGAAAATACTAATTGATTTTTTTTTTTTTTTTTATTCATTCCTCTGTTTCCTTTACGCCTTCAATTATGTCGTCGTCACGCTGGTCATCTGTAAATAGCTGATTCTGAAAACCAAAATCCCCACACCTATGTCTGTCCATTATCTAGTAGTTAAAGGACCATTTGGTGATATGAAGGTGAATCCGAAAATATATAAGTTTGAATTCAACGAGAATGAAACAGAAACACAATTTGTAACATTGCCATTACCAGACTCAGCCGAATGTAATCGGCTGTTAGCTGCCAAAACAATCAACTTAAGGTATGCAACAAGAAAAATTAAACTGTTGATAAGAATTATGAAAAAAGAGATTGTTTTAAATCACTGAGAAAATTTAACCTTGAGTATAAATATATAATGTATATTTTTAATATTTTCAATTTTATTTTACAACATAAGATTTGATCAAACAATTTTAATAAACTGTGTATTAAATGTATAATTTCAGTAAATTAGTCTATGAAAATAAATGTGAAAAACATATTTAAACTTGATGTTTCTTATCATATATTAATATACAGGTTGAATTTTTAAACATCTACATCCAACTTAATGTTTAAATTATGCTTATAAAAATTCTTAGATTTTTCACAATATTTAAGGAGTATCACTTAGTATTGTACTAACATTTTTTAATTGAAATTTAAGTCATTAACTTTCAATACTAAATATGATAGTCTATTAAAAGGATATTATTTAGTATTAACTTTTGTTTTGGTAAAAATAATTAGATGCAATATTAGCTTTTTGTAATATTATAAAATATAGTTGACTGAGTAGAAACGCACACTTATTGAAATTATAATTACTGACCCATAATTTACGAATTTTCATTCATTTACAAACATAAAAATGGAGCGACTATGCTTCAAAAATCACCCTGTATATTTATATTACATAAAAATAAGTTGGTATGTGCGTCTATTAAAATAATCTTAAATTTTGTTAAAAATAATTATTATGTAGTAATTTATTTTTTTTTTCAGGTTGATCATGTTTTTGGTGTCAAAATAATCACAAAATCAATATATATATATAAATATATAAATAAAGTAATATTTAATCATCAAAAAGCTGTTTCCACTCATATTATTGAAATGATTATTTTTTTTTTTCATTATTATTTACCTAGGCGTATATAGATATAATAGTTTTTTTTAATTAACAAAGCATATTAAGCTAATTTTTAAAAGTTTTATAGTTTATTTTTATCTTATTATTTTATTTTATGTTATTGTTGACGTCATTCCCCATGGTTTCACCTTGCCCTACAGCACGTTTATCTTTCCTTATTGTATTGTATTTTAATATTTTATTGGACATAAATAAAGTAACACATCAAAGTTATTATATGATTTGAGTTTTCATCTTACTGTATATATTCTCCTTTATTTAATATATAATATATTAAAAATGTTTTATATTTAACACAAAATAGTAACTGTATAAAACCACATACATTTAAGTTTAAGGAAATATTTTAAGGATTAATTATTTGACCGGTTTTATAATTAAATACTACACAAACAATGGTGATAAATGAGATTAATAACCATTAATAAATAATACATTCATTTATTATAAATATCACTCGGTAAAAAAGAAAGAAATTTAAACAATAATAATTAACAAATTACATATAAAATATTATTAAACATGTAGATAAATAAATAAATAAAAGATATAAAAAATGTTCAACAATACTTTATCTTAAAATAATGATCCAAGACAAAATCCCTACCCTTAACACCATACCATAAACCTTATATTAAATTAAATTCCTCGAATTCCCAAAACAATAAATTACCTTTACAATTTGGACTCAGTATTTAATGCTTTTAATTTTTGTGCTAACATGATGTTTCCTTTGATTTTCAATTTACCTTTCATAAATGCCATTTGAGGATTTAGCTTTCCAAGAGCCTAGATAAAAGTTTTTTTCATAATATTTGTTATGAATGTATAATACAACATAATATTATATAAGATACTTACCAAATCAATCATATCTGTATCATCAATAGTCAATGTCGTATCTGCTTTAACGCCTTTTTCAGGTTCTCCTCGATAGATTTTACCAGTCTTCAAATCTGCGGCTATTTATTAATTTAATATACTTTAATATTGGAACAAACATCTTAGTTATCAGTGTATTTCTAATAAAATAAGACTTACTCCATGTACTAGTGACTTTACCACTTTTTGTGATATGATAAACAAAGACCCCATTAATAGATTTTAATAAGCTTGGATTAGATTCTATACGTTCTTTCATACCCTCGAATACTGCATCGCTAGGCAGTTCTTCAACTTTACCAGAGCACAAGACCACATGTGGCTTGGCTGGCAATCTAACTTCGTGTAATTCCATGTAAGCGCCTAAAATATATCAGTAATGATTTAAAATAAATATTTTCAAACTATCATTTAATTATTTCATCAATTTCAAATGTTGGCCTTGAAAAAATATGCTGTTTTTATACATAAGTAGATTAAATCTGAAACATGAAACTCACCTAGTGAAAACAAAATCTACGAATAATATAATCCCAAACACTGTGAAAAATAATAAAAATATAACAATAGAAAATATAAGATAAGCTTGATGAAACATAATTTTGAGTTCTAAACTTTTTATTTAAACAATTTGATGATCATTATTAAAAACTAACTATAGACATTTTATTTATAACTGTATGGAAATATTAATTGTATAGGTCAATATGTCAAGTAATTGCATAGATCAATATGCTAATTAATAGAATTGGTAGCATTATTAAAAAGGTATACTAGTATAAAGTATATTTGTTTCAAATTATTAAATGTAACTTTCAAGGCCAAATAATAAATATAATCTAGATGGCTAGACATAAATATGTTTAATGTTTATGTATAAAATAAACATTAATAAACATGATAAATATGTGATCAAATAATTACAATACCTTAAATAAAAATTACCTGATAGAACTGTGTCGTTTGTCTCTGATACTGTAGTTTTGAAGTGAATGCGGTTCCCTTCTCTCCACATTGATGTGCACAATGTTTGGCCTGGTACAACTGGTTTACTGAATCTCACCTAGAGGTCAAAGTAGTTTGTACATTAATGAGGTGTTTGTTCCATGCCTCCTGCACACGAGTTTCATTTTTTCCTCACATTAATTTTATAGCATTTATATTACACAGTACAGTTCAACAATATTCGGCATATACTTTATATTCTTAAAATTATTTGGAATTTTATGTAAAATGCTGACATTGTTATTTTTTATAGCATATTTATTAGCATGCAGCAAAATTTTTCATTATGACCTAATTAATTAAAATTTAAAATTAAAATCATATCTTCTGTAAAAAGAATAAATGTACGTGTTTTATCAAGTAAAAATGTAACAAAAGATAAAGTCATAAATATATTATTAGTAAGTTCACCATGTATAGCCATTGTAGTTCATGTAAATGAAATTTAATGAAATCAACAATTTTTTTTTAAAATTATTATGCAAATACCTTAAGTGATTTGAATAATTTTGAATCATTATCAGCAAATTGTTTGAGTATGTGTCTTACTGAAATACCAAGAGTTGCTAAACCATGAAGTATTGGCACTTGATAACCAGCAGCAAGTGCAAATGATGGATCTATGTGTAAAGGATTTAGATCACCGGATAATCTGTAAACGGCTGCCTAATAACAATTCATTGAATAAGAAATAATTAAAAATAATTTTAGTATAAATTTGTACTAAAAATAATAAGAAATTAATAAGCAAAACATACCTAATGCATAAATAAAAATCATTACTTGATTTACAGAAGTTTTCTCAGTAACGGTAGAATCTGGAGACCGTTTAGGTTCATCAAGTATTGGAATCATAACACTTGAAACTCGTTTCCCTCCAAATCCTCCAGCTGACACAACAAAAGTACATATTTGTGATGTGACAATCAAATCACCAAATTCATCATATGTTTTACCTAAAATAATTTAATGAGAACATTATCAAGAACTTAGTATCTAGCATATTATAGATTAAATAATTTGTAAAATACAATGTTTTTATTAATTGTTCATAACAATTTTTCTAGAATTATTTAAATTATGAAATAAAACTCATACCATCAACAACAATAATAGCATTTTTTCCTTTATCCAAAACATCAGAAATACAAATTTTAGTTGTAAGTTTAGCTTCAGTTGGAAAGGGCTTGTGTAGTTCTAAATATTGTTCACCATGCAAAACCTATCAAATATAAACATCAATTTTGAATAATACAGAACAGTGTTGGAATATAAATCATAGTAAAAATGTACTAAGAAAATATTTTATAAATACTAATTAGTAATGTAATATTATAACTAAAACATGACATTTGATAACTTTGTTCGCTAAATCATTATTATAAAGTAAATGGTTATATTTTATTACAAAATTTAACTATGAAAATGAATATCCCAACATTTGGAAAACCTAATCTAAACTGCAAGAAAAAACTGAGTTATAGTTAGCTAAATTTTTACCAGAAAAAAGGGATAATTTTAACTATGCAATGACATTTTTTACTTGTTTTATAATACCATTTATACAAAAAAGTTATTATTTGTATGTATTATAAGCTTAAATAATTTTGTTTCCTTTATGTTATAAAAAAAATAATAAAACAATGTTGTATGATTAATGTTCTCTTCTTATTATGGTGAAAATAGGGTATCTTGCAATTTCTATACTTTTTATAAATTTAATATAATATAATATTCTGTAAAATAGTTTATTATAATAAAACATTATTGGCTACATAGGTTTAATTCTCTCTATCCCTAGATATTAAATGATCCACATATATGTAATATGTTGTATTATATGCCAAAAAAATTAGCATACATATAACTTATACCTGAGATAAATCAAACTCTCTACCAGGTATCGCCTCAGTTATTACACTACTACCCATAGTAGCCATCAAACTAGGTAAAACTGCATAAGTAGGTATTGTAGAGAAATTTTCATGAGATTCATATAAGTATTGTAAATCACTTTCTTCTTTTACATTTGCTCCAACTATGAAAAAAATATTATGATTTTTAATTATACAGTTAGAAATAATTAATATTTAAAATTTACCTCCAATAGCATAAAGAATGGAATCTCGGTAATTGTAACTGAACACACCACTAGCTTCATTTGAGGTTTCTACTGGACCAGATTTTATTTCATCTAAAACTCCTAATAAAGTTGAAGATGCTTCCTACAATCAACAGTTCGTATTGTTAATTGAATAAATAATAAGAAAAAATTGGTACTTATATGTTATCTTTGACTATCACGTCACTTATCTGGTATCTCAACTACCAGCTGAAGTTTCAAACACTATAGTTTCTGTCATCTAAACTGTGAAATACTCATCACTCATCAGTCAATTTTCATAGGACAAAATTTAATACTTGGTTAACCGACATTCAAAATTTTTTTTATTATTTAGTATTTACTATTAAATTAAAAATATGAATCGAAATAATTTACCATTAAAAAGACACTCTTGAATTATTTCAAGAAAAATGTTTGAATTTAAGACACTATGAATGCAAGTGATCATACAAAAAACCTACAAGGCTCCTAAAAATGAAATCTTGTGGAAATGTAAAGTAAAGATAATATGATTACTGGTAATTAGTTAGTAAAAATAACAGAATTGGTAGTTACATCACATAATATACCTTATCCTACAAAACAAGCAATGAGTGTATGAAAAGTGTAACAACAAAGAGTTTGCTTTTTGATAACTCGATTACTCATACACAAGGTAGTGTGAGGTAGTAGGGTAAATTTAGGTACATATATGAATAGAATATTGTATTTTGTAGCCAAAACAGGCTACATCACTACGAAATGTTGTTATGCCGCTCGCTAGTAATGCTGTTGTTATACACAGTTCTTGTCTTGTAGTACAAGTAGTATACTGTCTATTTTACGACATCAGGTAGTTGAGATGATAGAATTGAGACAGTCTGTAGTCAAGATGGCGGATAAGTAACAAAATATTAATTTAATTACTTCAATAGAATCCAGTCTAGTTGCCTGGGACATATCAGTCAACTGATTCCAAACATCACGGACATTTTCTGGAGCCACTGTGTCTGTAATCTTGTGTCTAAGTATAGCACCAGTTCCTCTCACCAAATGACCTATAATTATAATTCCCTTGGTAAGTTAGCCATGTTTTAATTATTTAACATGGGATAAGGGATTTAGCAATAACATTTTTTAAAGTCTTACATTTTGTAGCCCATCCAGCAGCTGATTCAATAATAGAACCGTTTTCATCACAGTCCTCATGACAAAGCCAGACAACAACAGGAGCAATTAGTTCAGGTTTTAATTCGGCAAAGAAATCTAAAGAATATTATTATGAAAATATTAGAATATATTTATGTAAACGTAACTTGAAATTGAGATTTTTTAATATTTACCCGGTGGTAAAATATCTTCAGTTAGTCGAGATGCTGCTGTTGGTACGATAACATTACAGTTGATATTGTTTTTCCTACCTTCAATTGCCATAGTGTTACAAAGACCCACTAGACCCAATTTGGCAGCCCTTGGAAAAAAAAAATATTATCATTTTGTTAAAATAAATACTATTTAAATTTATTACGAGTAGTTTGCTTGTCCAAAATTTCCATATAAACCAGAATTAGAACTTGTGACAATAACTCTACCATAATTTTGTTTACGAAAATGAGGCCATGCAGCTTGTGTTACTTTAAAAGCACCTTTTAAATGAACATCATGTACCAAATCTATAGTGGAAAACAATTTTTAATAACATTTAGATAAAATTAATTGGATTAATTACTAACTCCAGTCAGATTCGCTTATTCGTGCAAACGATTTATCTCTTAGTATTCCAGCATTATTCACTACTATGTCAATACGACCAAAGTTCTCAAGTGCAGTCTGTACTAATTTATCACCATCAACTACAGAGTCATAATTGGGTACAGCTTTTCCACCTAATAATAATTTAAAATAATTTATAATGTTTTGTGGAAACAAATTATTACAGAAATTGACTTACCTTTAGAGCGGATTTCTGCTACAACAGAATCTGCAGCTTTGCTACTGCTACCATCTCCAGATCGACTTCCTCCAAGATCGTTGACAACGACGGAAGCTCCACGCTCAGCAAATAATAACGCATAAGCTTTACCCAAACCTTAAAATAAAAACACAATTTTCAAAAAAAATTTTTTAGATAGTGAGTAACAACAAACATTTTAAATATATTTTGTTGATGTAACTGTAAAAAATGTTAAAACTTAATGAATGTGTTATCTTAATACAAAAATAAAACAAATTAAATGTATTAATTAACAATATAAAATATAAAAATAATCATCAGTAACACAAAATATAGATAAACTAATACCTAATCAGTAAAGTTTGAAAAAATAAGACTTAATTATGGTATGGGTACATTAATTATCTTCCACAAACCTGCACCAGCTCCAGTGACAATTGCCACTCGTCCATCAAAGCGTAATTTGTCCATGTTGTATTTTAACAATTCTAGACTAAAAAATATCACATAATATATTTTGTATGTATAATATATATTATAAATGGTTTATTATGTAGGTATGCACAATTAACTAACAAGGGTTGATATGAGTTTTAAGAAAATATTAAAATTAAAATTCAATGAATTAAGTGTTTCAAAACCAAACTTCATATTACACATCAGTAACTGTAAGGTAAACTTTGACCTGTATGACTTATACATTCATATGTACCTATTGGATATTGACGTAAAAAGTGGTATTTACAATGAATAATTGCTTTGGAGATAGGTACGATCTTCAAACCTGGAAATCGAGAGCTCCAAACGTTTGGTCACCTACAGAATTTGTGAGGTGAATTATCGACGTGAATCATGTAATTATGATTCAAGAGCAATTTGCATGAACTGCATAATATTTAATAAAAATTATTCAAAAACTCCGTGCGCACCAGACTACGAGTGGGGAATCGTATTCCGTTGGAGACAGTAATTTTCAAGGACGCAACTAAAGATAACAAACAATAACAATAGGTAGTAAATACCTATTAACGAGTAGATATCTCTTTTCTATGCGAACATTCACAGACTACTGAAGAAGGTAGTGAAGAACTGACAAGTGGGCAGTGACCCCTGAACTACAGGAGTGTTGAGTATAATGACTATAGATATACCAGTATACTTGTCTATTGTGACTACTAGTTAGCAGTTATTACAGACATGTACATTAATATACCGGGGAGTTTTAACTACAATTATCAGTACCTATTCAGTTCCGTATTCGAATCACTCTAATCACTAATTGACTGTCTTCGTCAGTCGTCACGAATTTGCAACCAGACACTGGCCAATTGGCAAGACTTTTTCAGAATTTCAGATCTCCACGTTTCACCATTCACCAAAACTCAGTTTTTTTTTTTTAATATTTTTATAGCAGTGATTTTTAAGCGGTGTCAGCAGTTTGATAGCACTTATCACGAATCGACATGTAGCATGGATAAATGATAAGGTAATGTTCATCGCCGCGACCTTAGAATATATCATTCACCATGTTAATTAATTGGAAAGTCGGTAATTCTTATTCAAAATAAAATGCAGTAATTACCGTGCACTGTGCAGTTTAACCTCCCTTTTGTCATGATCTCAATAAAAAAATTTAAAAAATCCTTTATAAATCCTTTTCTGATTTTTTTTTAAAAAATATGGTAGCCCTTTTGAAGTTATTTACTTAAATATGGAGAAAAAATAATTTTTAGATCTGGTGAATTATGAATGAATGAAAGCAACCTATATTTTCAAAAACACAGCATAATATTGTAAAATTGCAAGGCTTTCACACTTAGTTCCCTAACGCTAATCCAATTGTTAATAAAGAACTCACTACTTGTTAACAAGTTTATAGCTCTTATTGCGTTACGGGACTATAAAATTGACTAGTGCATACCTAGTAGTTCATGGGGAATATTGGATATTAAATAATGTCATTTAAGAAAACTGAACAAATTCCTTCTGGACAAAAAATAAAAGCATAAATATTAAACAATAATAATAATATACAATTCAAATAAATTTGATCGATATAATTCCAAATTCCAATACAAATTATAAAAACTTAAATAAATATGAAATAATTAAATAGGTAGTACAAATCAAAAATAACGTAAGTAACTTATATTTTTTATTCTGGTAATATAGCTCACGGAAATTAAAAAATTAAAAATATCATCATTTGAAAAACTTTTACATAACTTTTTTAACCTGTCGTCTTCACCTAAATTATTACGAAAACCACCTATAATAATACCATCTTATTATATTTACAATGTACCTACTACCTATCATACCATTCATACCTATAGGCTATAAAGCCATAAACGTATATCTTAAATCGTGGACCAAACATCAAATTAACCAGTATAATATTGTGTTTAATCCGAATAATATTTAAATATTAACATTTAAGATCTAAGATCTACAAACTATAAAAAATCCATAGTGAACTTCCACACAGAATACGTTGCATATGATCGACTTTGACACAATTTGAGGTCCACTGATTAGTGATAACGTTTTGATACCACCATCATTATAATATATATATAGATAACCCAATGGCTAACTTAACTCAGGTCTCGGGTTCGTGAACTTATTCAAGTCCTTATTAGTTATTGGTACAATAGATCATATTATAATAGTACATAATTAACTAAATAAATTCTATTGTATAACTATTTATAAATATAAAATATAAGGTTTATGGATTATACGTATCTGTCCGTGACCGTGTTCGATCAATAAAAAATAAAAAGAGGCATCCACGTTTTAAAAACATCCTTATCAATGGAAATGCATTGGAAATTTGAGTAATCTGTGGTAGGTAATATAAACTTTAGGAAAATTGGCAGATACGTGTCAAGACAGTCGACCAATCAGAAGCGGCCAAATCGGCGATTTTGTTGGTTTTTTTTTGTACACAAGTAAAAGGTAAAACTAATATGTGTTGAGTTACGTTAATGTTACATCTTATATTTAATTTAACTTAGAATACGTAATCTTTAGCCTTGTGCCTGACTTTTACGTTAGTGGTTAGGGTATTCAACCTAATTGTCCGTAATAAATTTAATTGATCTTTACTGTACTTATATTACTTGGATTTCCAACATAATTGTGAAAATTCTACATTGATAATATTATCAATATCAGACATGATACTTTCCACTTTACCCGGTGGATTATTCCTATTTTCGTTGTAAATCAAATACGATTATTCCTAAAATATAGTGTTAGGGCAAATAGTATACTTATTACTTTTTAGCTACGTAAGTAAACTTGGTATTTTTATATTTTGAAATTTTTTATTTAATTTAGACAAATAATTGTTTCCCCTACATCAATTTTATTTAGGTCTTTACTCTTGACAATCTTCAAAATGAATATCCCCCCATACTGGAAATGTGTCACAGCGCTGACCACGTTATTGGTTTTGAGCTTACATATTGCAAATGTACACGGTTTAGCTGTAATGAGTGTCGATATCGGTTCAGAATGGATGAAAGTAGCAATAGTTTCAGTAAGTATTACATAATAAATTAATCATGTATAAATATACTTTAATGTGCTTAAATTATGTATAGCCTGGTGTACCAATGGAAATAGCTCTTAATAAAGAATCTAAAAGGAAAACTCCGACTGCTATAGCATTCCGCAATGGCGAACGTACATTTGGCGAAGATGCACTTACAGTTGGCGTTCGATTCCCATCCAACTGTTATATTTATTTTCTTGACTTACTAGGAAAGAAAATAGACAATCCAATTGTAGATCTCTATAAGAAACGTTTTCCCTATTACAACATTATTCCTGATCCAAAAAGAAATACAATACTCTTCAAGCACGGTGAATCGTATGTATAAATTATATAGGCAACTAACTATAGTATATATACCCAATATTATTTTATTAACTTATATAATTGTAGAGATGATTATTTTTCACCCGAAGAACTTGTGGCAATGATGTTGGAAAAAGCAAGAGAATTCGCACAAGATAGTGCTGGGCAAGCTATAAATGAAGCAGTGATTTCTATTCCTGGTTATTTTGGTCAAGCTGAACGAACCGCAATGTTGAAAGCAGCAGAAATTGCTGGAATTAAAGTATTACAACTTATTAACAGTTACACAGCAGGTAAAGTATTATAGACATATTACCAAATTATGTTCTGTTCTCAAAAATCAAAATAATACTTATTATTTATAAAGTAAAATTAATATAAAATACAAAAGTTTTTGAATACTTAATGCTATGTAGAAATATAGCTGGATAAAATTGAAATTGATATTAACAAAAATAACATAAAACACTATCGATTTTTAATATCTGCATAACATACAAAATCTTAGTCTATACTTAAAGTATAACCCAAGTTCTGTTTTCATTGGAAAATTCAAATGTTTTTCCATACTATGTATTCTGAAATACCTTACCAACAATATCTTACTTATAGTTACGAAATAGGTTATACCTGTGATGAGAGAAAAGTTGTTAAGCAAATGAGGTTTAAATTGAATAATGGGTTTGTGTTTGTAAGTAAATTTTTGATAATTTTCGATTACACATAAGTCGTGTATGTAATCAGCAAATAAATATATCCTCTTATCTGAAGTTAATCTTGCAGTCATTATTTGTATTAACTGAATGTTATGTATTTATGTACATTTATACTGTTTATTTTTTTTTTTTTCATACTTTTAGTTAGCTTAGAAACTCTTGCTTACACATTAGTTTGTGTAAAGAAATTAATAAACTCTTTCATTCAATCTATAATTAAAAATGTTTTCAAAATGTTATACTTAGGATATTGTTAATATTATGATGAATAATTCATATCTAGGGCTGGAGTTATAAACCCTAAAAATCCCTTATAAAGAATAATTTTGGTATAAATGATTATATAAACTGCGCATAAAAATGCATAAAAGCTTTATTTAAATATATTATAAAACTTAGAAATTGAAAATTGTAAAATAAAAATAAATTGGTTTTTATGTTATTTTTTTTTAGCTGCATTGAATTATGGTATATTCCGTACAAAAAGTTTTAATGAAACATCTCCGATGTACATGATGTTTTACGATATGGGAGCATATGGTACTCAAGTATCAGTTGTTTCCTATCAGTTGATAAAATCTAAGGATAGAATAGCTCCTGAACTTCAACCTCATCTTGCTGTACTAGGAGTAGGGTTTGTATCTCAATTTAAATTTTTGTTGCTATGAATTTTGAATGATTTATTTTCTAAAAATGTGATGTAATAAATTTCAATATTTTATCTATTAGCTATGAGCGTAATTTGGGTGGCTTGGAAATACAATTACGACTAAGAGATTACTTAGCAGCCAAATTTAATAATCTTAAATTAACACCCAATGATGTTACTAAAAATGCTCGATCAATGGCAAAATTATTCAAAGAAGCTGGACGATTAAAGAATGTATTAAGTGCCAACACTGAACATTTCGCCCAAGTAATTTAATATTATTTTAATTAGGTTATATTGTAAGTTGAATTGATTTTTCCTCAAAACTTGTTAATTTTATGCGGAATAGTATTAAGGACTCCACCCCGCATGTGTTATCTTTGTCTTACAAACTTACAACATAGCTAAGACTGTTTTGTGTGAAATAGCACCACTCAAGTTGTAGCCCAGGCTAAGCAACTAAAATTTCACACTTTAAACAAGAGAACATTTACCGTGCAACGTCATTTTTGTTTTGATGTCACTAATATATAAAAACGTTATTGTTTAAAAATTCATTATTTCAAAAATGAATAACTTTTTATCAAAATTTGAGACAATTATAAAAAAATTGCAATTTGTATAAGATATCTACTGTAAGGACAACTTATAAGAAACCCTGTATTTTATTTTTAAGTTTTTGATCGAGAAACACATTTTATCAACATTAATCAGGGAAAAATCAAAAAGAGAATTTTTTTAAATATCTAAAAAAAATTCAACTAAACATTTGGTAAAAAATGTCAAGACCACAATTGTTTCTCTCTGAAAAAATAAGAAAATCAGTTGTTTCAAAACCTAATATTGCATGAATATTCATTTGTGTTTTTGTTGGTTTTCCTAATTATTCAATTAAGTACCAACATAATTAAATTTTCTATCAAAAAATCTCACAATGATAACATTGTTATGATCAAAAATATGATGATAGCTGTAATACACGTATAATGCTTTCTTACTAATCACTAAAGTAAATATTTAATTTCAGATAGAAGGTTTAATTGATGAAAAAGATATGCGTATCAAAGTTACGAGGGAAGAATTAGAAGAATTGTGCAAAGATTTATTTGATAAAGTGGTTCTTCCAGCTCAAAGAGCTTTAGAAGCATCTGGACTAACTATCGAACTGATTGAACAAGTATATTTTTATTTTATTTTCAATGAAATAATAATTCTATTACATTTTTAAATAATATTTTAGGTTATGTTATCTGGTGCTGGTACTAGAGTTCCTCGAGTTCAAGACCGTTTAGTCAAAGACTTAAAGAGTAATCAACCTCTTGGTCGATCCTTGAATACTGATGAAGCTTCTGCTTTAGGAGCTGCATATAAAGCAGCAGATCTTAGTAATGGATTTAAAGTAAAGGCATTTATTACTAAGGATGCTACATTATTCCCCATACAGGTTAGTTATTTTATTGTTTTGAACAAACTCAGTACTTTATAAACTAAATTATTTTTAGGTAACATTTGACAAAGAGGTAATAGATGAAAATAAACCAGCAAAACAAGTCAAGCGCATTTTGTTTGGTCACATGAATCCGTATCCACAACGCAAAATAATAACATTTAATAAACATCAACAAGATTTTGATTTTACTGTGGGTTATGCAGAACTTAGCCATTTAGATGAAAATGAAATTAAATGTTTAGGTTCTTTGTCACTAAGTAATATTAAATTGAATGGTGTACGAGATGCCTATTCCAAATATCAAGGTCAAGAAGGTGCAGATACCAAAGGAATAAAAGCACACTTTGCAATGGATGATAGTGGATTATTAATTTTACAAAATGTGGAGTTGTTGATTGAAAAAACTGTTACTGCTGATACAGAAGAAGAATCTACTTTATCAAAGATTGGAAGTACCATTAGCAATTTGTTTAAAAGTAATAAATAGTTACAATTAACCTAAAACTTAAAATAGTAAATTAACGTTTTAATAATAATTAATCATATTTAAAAGGTCCTGAAGAAGTATTAAAAGAAGATAAACCAGTACATGAAGCTCCAGAAGAAGATCCTATTCCCCAAGCTTCTAATAGTACAACAAATAACACGGATACTTTTGATCAAACAAACAGTACTGAACAAGTGAAATTAAATGATACAATTCCAATTTCTGATTCTAAGAAGAATTTAAAAGTTGTTACAATTAAAGAAACTATTGATGTTAACCATGAATACTTGTTTGTACTTCCTGCTCAAGATGATGATTTGCAAAGTTCAATTAATAAGTATGATACTTATAGATATATGAACAATTATTTCTTTATTTGAGCTATTATTAATTTTTAGGATAACAGAACTTAAAGAAATAGATTTAGCAAAATCACGCAAAGAAACCTCTTTAAACAATTTAGAAACAGCTATTATTGAAACACGTGAAAAATTAGATCAATCTGATTATTCTAGTTCTGCTACTGATATTGAAGTTCGATCAATTTTGGATAAATGTTCTGAGGTAATAATTATTACAATTAATTTAAATGTTGAATAATAAATATTCAATATTGTAACACTTAAATAAGTTATAATTTTAAATATTAATTTAATTTAAAATGTATTTGTTAAGATATCAAATTGGTTGGAAGATGATGGTTTTGGTGCTGAAGCTGAAATTTTGGACTCTAAATTTGATGATTTGAAAAAAATAGTATTACCTGTTTGGGAAAGAACTTTTGAGCATGCAGAAAGACCATCAAGATTGGAAGCACTAAATAATGCATTGAACAGTAGTAATTCATTTTTGGAAAAAATAAAAAATACCACGTTGGATGATACTCCATTTACACAAGTAGAAATAGATACACTTGACAAATTGATTTCTGAAATTACAGTAAGAATATTGAAATTTAAAAATTAGAATAACAAGAATAACAGTTAAATACAATCAAAAAAATGTTTTATTTTATTTGTAGAGTTGGAAAGATAAGCAAGTAGAAGAACAGGAAAAACTTCCAAGATCTGTTGATCCTGTGTTGACGATTCAAACAATTGCAATGAAACATTCATCGATAGAACGCGAGGTGCTTAATAATATTAAAAATATATACTTGTAAATATAAATTCTCTTAACAATTTATATAAATATTTTTTTTTTAGATGAGATATTTAATGACAAAATTCACTTCATGGAAACCAAAAAAGAAAGAGGAACCTAAAGTTAAAGGTAAGTGTTACCTCTCAATCCATTTATTTTTTATTTAACAGACATGATTGAATTAGAGTGAGATTTTTATGTTGTTTGACTTATCCGACTAATATAACTTAAATCAATAATTGTTGTTCGTGAAGCACCAACATCACAGACTGACAGTGAAAAAGCTAAAACACCAGAAGAACAAGATAATGATTCTACAGTTGAGACTAACACACAAGATGATGTAGAAAAGTCTACTGCACATGAACCCAGTAGTACTGTAGAAGATAATGCCAAATCTGAAAGTCCATTAAAAACAGATAAAACCAATCCAACTGATCTACCAATAGTTGAACCTACCAAAACTGGTGAGAATTTCAAGATGTTTATCAACGGTGATGGAGCACGGCAGTTTTTAATTTATTTACTATAGTTGCTTATTGCACAATGCTTGCTCAGTTCTGCCATGTATATTTTTACAGAAAAAAATTCCAAATTGCCACATGATTTAAAGGCGGATATTTCATCGTGGATTTCATCAGCATTGGTTATTTGTATTATACAAATTGCATTTCGCTTATTTTAGTAATTGAATCACTCATTTTAAAGAGTACATTTTTAAGCATGTATGTCTTGTAACTTTCTGGGATATCTTCTATAATTTTGCTCTACCTAATGAAAAATACTAACATAATATACTTATTTGAAGACTTACTTATCTTTCACGAATACCAACACATTTTTAGAGGTCTATTATGTTTTCCTTAAAACTATTTATTACAGTTATTCATTTTTAAACATAAATTGTGGTAAATAATTTGTGAGGAAATATGGCGAAATGTACTTAAACATAGCGTGTGATTATTGGTCACTATTAATTTGAATATTGTCTTGTATTCTTGTATACACTTTAAAGGGGGAAATGTTATAAGTTAACAACAGTAATATACTTTGTCCCACTAGAGAACATGCTGTGTGTTAACAAGAATAGGTCCAGCTCATCACATCCTCCATCAAATTTTCGATAAGTAGCATGCGATTGTAGGGATACCCCTCACCGTTGATGGCAACCAACTGCACTTGTCTTGTATATTATGGTTGGCCATCGTCGCATATAATTGGCTGCATGGAGGGGATGCGGCAGTCTAGTCGGTCGACAGACCTCATTCTAAATGTGCAGATCTGCCATGTTCTCTTGTGAAACAGTAAATAATTAGTTTTTAGCAATCTTAAATAGAAAAAAAAAGGATATTTGTGCTGATACAAACATTTTTTAGCCTAAATACTACCACTAGCTCCTTGCTTATTTAGCCTATAGTAGTAAGCATCATTAAAATTTTAATAACTAATGTTATGCACTAAATGATTTGTTTCTTCTTAGTTTAATTTGATTATATTTTTCAATGATATTATTTATTTTATTTCTAATAATAAAACCAAACTGTAACTGTTGGTCCTTAACTAGGTTAATAACATTCAAATGTTAATTTACTTACTGAAATATAAGTCATATTAAAAATAGGTTACAGTAAAAGTATTCATACCCAGATTTTGGTAAATGTCCAAAATCCTGGTTTTTAATGATTGATATTAGTGAATTCTAAGAAATACAAAATAATTTATTATTTTCAAAAACTGGTAAGTGTTAGTGAAATATATTTTAGTTGAGAATTAAATACTAATTAGTAATTAGATATATTTCAATGTATGAATGCACAACATTGAATTTGATAATCACCGTCTTTTAAATTAAATAACACTGATTTACTAATACAAATTACAATGTTCATTTTCCTATATGTTTATTAATATTGCATATCCTATTCAGAATAAGAAAGGTACAAGGCAAACTTGTGTGCATGGGTGTGGCTTTGTTCCAACTCTATGCTGGAGCTCCAGCGTTGGTGGGTGAAGCATTTGACCACAACCCATGAAAACTGGTCGCCGCCCGGTACCTTTCTTATTCTGGATAGATTATATACTGAATACTGATATACAAATAATAATTCTTTTTTAAGGTTTAGAATTTGCTACATTTTATATATTATTCAAATCTATGTACATTTGGTAACTAAATATCTTTCGTATCACTTAATTAAGATTATTTTTTGTTATAGGGGAAAAAGAAGATGAAGCACACACGGAGTTATAATAAAAGAAACTAGGTGGCTAAATTGTGCAAGTGAACACAGGCTATCGTGCATTCCAGGATCCAGTTATTGAAGACTAATGTTTATTCTGTACATTTTTTTAATTTATTTACTCTGGATAACTGCATTTTGTTGTATTTTATAATTACATCGTTGGAAATAAAATAGGACACATAAAAAAAAATATGTGTTGTTAAAATCGGATGAAATAAGTAAAATTATTTTTTTTTTTAACTGGTTTTAAATGGTTTCTAAGCGCACATTAATATAATCAAAGAATAAAACAATGAAAAATTGAGATAATGATAAACAAGAAATTGTATACATTTAAATACTTAATATTTATAATAATATTAAATATTATTTAAAGTAAAAAACAAACTGTACATACATTTTGAAAATTGTTTTCTTTAAAATTAAGAAGACATCAAGATGTAAATTACACATTTATACTTTGACAAATTGTTGATAGTTGTAATTCTCTTAAGTATTAAAAAAACATTTTTATATGAAACTATATTGCATTAATTATAAAATCCATTAGCTAATCCAAAACTGTATTGCAATTAATATTTAAAAAACAATAGTTACCTTAATGAATAATACATAATAGTATATTTTGGATCAGTCGTATTCACAATTTTCATTGTTTTATATTGGTGTATATTATTTACATACTATTATTATTCTATTTCATAGTAACAGGGTATAATAATACACATGACATGATTAAATCCTTTCTATAATTTAATCAATCAGTTAAAATAAAGTGTTTTTTTAAAAACTTAAGTACATGCATAAAAATGTAAAATACAGATTTAATATATTACCATAATATTAATTTAATTGTATTATATTTTTATGTCACTGAATGATCACAAATCACAATAATTAACTTTAGACCACCAAAATATAGTCCACTGATAATGTTTTAATATGTAAAATATAAAGAATAATAAAATTGTATTGCTAGTAAAAAAATAATTGTATATTACTGCTTTAAAAATTAAATAAATAAATGATGTACAATGATTAAAACTATTTTTAAATTGTATAATAAATACATTGTAAGTCTTTACAAAGAAAACGAACTAGCCATCTTATCATTTTTTTTTCTTTTTCTAGAAATATTCAAAATTATTTTGATGTCTTTGTGTTAAGAAAATTTAAATTTATATTATAAACCCTATTTTTACCTTTAAAAACGAATAACAATTTAAATATCGAACAGTGAGAATATAAAAATATATATTGAATTTCTTTCATCTAATTAGTAATTAATAAACTTTTATCAATAACATTAATTATAAAAAGAAAAATTATTTCCAAGAAATAGGCACTAACGCGTTAATTCAAGTAAAAAGCACAACCGCAAATTCATGAACAATAATATTGAAATAAAAAAAAATAAATATTAACTAATTATTAATAAAAAAATAATAAATAATTGATTTACCTATTAGAATGTTTAAAAGTCTTATAGAAGATGGTAACACCCGAAAAAAAAATTGTTAGTTTTTTTTATAAAAAAAAGAAAATTTAACAATAATAATTACCTATTTATAAACCCTGACTATAAAAATAAAACATTATTCATTGGCATATTTAAGTCAAACCTTAGCCACAACATGTATGTAATGCCGTATAACAATACTATAATTTAAATTAAGTTATCTTATAAATACAAACAAAAATATATGTATCTAAATTAATAACTTTAAGGACCAAATTAGAAAAGTGCAAAATATGACATGGTGTTTACTGTTTAGTAATGAAATTAAATACTCAAAAAACGTTAGGTTTTAGTTTTAGGGCCTAATTAGAATAATAAATAAAGCAAAAGGCACTTATTATTATAACATTAAAATTGTTACTCCTAAAACAAATTGATTGGGCAGTCAGTTGGTAGTAAATAACAATGTTGCCACTAATTTTATTTTAAGTCATATTTAAACAACATACAAATTTCCTTAATAAGTGCCTAAACGCCATAAGGAATTTCACATTTATGTATGACTACAAAAATTAACAGGTACATAATTTGTTTTTTCTAGTTTAGTCATAACGTGTTTTTGTTTTTAACCAATTTCACTTGGCTGCCAGTACCAACTGATGATGCATCTTCTAATGAATCCAGGTCCAAAGCTGACTCGATCATTGTCGTGTCCTGAAGTAGTTGTAGCCGACTAGCACTAAGTGGTGGAGCACCAGATATAGTTTTTGACCCATCATCTAAATCTAGATCTGGATCTAATCGACCCGGTTCAATAGTCTCGTAAATGCCAGTATCATTGAATGTGTTAGTCAAGGAAGTTATACTTTTGTTGAATTTCACACCTATATAGTAGATACAAACAATGTTATATAAAAATAAATAAATGAATATATTTATTTATTTAAGCTCAACCTTGATCTTTAGTTCACTTACCAACAAATATTAATCCTAATCAACTTACATGGTAGTGAAAGGCATTTAAAAAGAAACAAAACATATAATATTAACAATTAAATTATTTTCATTACAGTTCCCAAAAAGATGAGCATTAACTTAACTAGTGTTATTCATAATACTATTTGATAAGTGCATTCTAGTTGATGAAGTGCCCCCACCATGCTCACGACAGTGACTATAGTAAAGTTTTTGATTGTTCCTACAACGATAACTAGGAACACGGGAAACAGCTGAATAATACATTGCTGCGCGGTCCCTACGCAACGGTAGACTAGCATAAAAATAATTTGGGTTGGTGGGGACTAAAAAATAGTCAGTTGGGTAATGATTATGTGATGTGATTAAGATTGAAGAATGGGAGGTTGGTGGCTTTTGATACAAACCATTTATAATATGACTTTGATGCACATGATTGTTTTGCGAATGATGAATACTTGGCATCGATGTTGTAAACGTATGTTGATTGCGGTCCAAGCTATCTGGTTGTAACATACTAGATGAACCATATTGATGCAATTGTATCTCATCAGTATTTGTTTTGCCATTCTATAAGTTATAATTAGAGTAAGTACATAAAATATTAAAACAATTATTACACATTACTTGGTTAACAGGTGCATCAGAAACTTCAAACCCTTTATTGGATATCACTGTATCTCTACTCTGACTTTTGTTCATTGATTTAGATTCGGAAAGCGATAAAACCACACCACGTCTATCTGAAATATATTAAGTGAATTAAGATTATTTAGAACAACAAACTAATATTTATGAATACCTAAAAGACTTGGAGGACGAGGAGAACACAATACATAACAATAATTGGCACAGATGTTACCTCGACTATATGGATTGGAATTTGGCCGTCCTGTTCGACTGGCAAAAGATCCTTTAATCTAATTACAATATATTAGTTTTATTTAACAGTAAACATTTTATTTGCAAGGATGGAAGCAGTGAACTAGATGAATGACAAACATAAACTTAATTACTGACTAATTTTAACCCATTTCATTTCAAAAGAAAATTTACTATAAGAAAAATTAATAAAATAAACATTCAGTGGTCACTGTTCATACAGGATATCAATACATTTTAAAATTTAACTTATAAAATCTTAATCATGAAAATAATGATATATTAAAAAACTATTCGTATATTTAATCTAATTAAATGAAAGAGACTATCTTCCTTCCCTGCAATTGTTTAGTATTTATATTTATTATAGCTTATAATATATACATCATACAATACACACAAAAATAAAAATGTACTAACATCTTCATTAGTCGTTTGATTGGATGCAGCAAGAAATGTATGAAATCCAGCCAATCCAATTACGCTCCAACAACTGAAGAATGTAATAATTACTACTATCACACTAGTAGGTGATTCAGAAATAGCATCTACCATTAGCCTGTTTTCGGATACTAAATAAAACAAAATACACAAAAGTATGAAGTAAATATTTATACATTTATAAAAATTAATTTGTTCAGAATTGCAATCACTTACAATAAAATAAATGTAGTACTGCTCCAATGAACACGATGATGATAAGTAAAGATAAACAAACAATAAACATATAGAAAAACCTGTAGTTCCGACGACCAACACAATTTCCTACCCATGGACAGTGATGATCAAAGTTTTCTAGATTTTAAAAATAAATTATATTTTAAGATGTAAGTGAAACAT